GTGGGGATGGGCGCCGCGACGGCGTGGACGGCAAGCGGGGGGTGAGCACGCGCATCCGCTCCAAGCGTGTTTTCGAAGCGTCGCGACCGGATCGCGTCGAAGTGGCCCTCGAGTTGCACCGAGGTGATGACTTAAAGTTACCTTCCAGGATTATCAAGGTGAACTTCCTCGAGAAAGCTATATAGACCGCCAACGAAAATGCACTCTCAACGTTTGCTAATCCTGAGATGATTGCGTAGAAGGAAAATGTATTAAAAAAAATATTTTCTCTTATACGTTTTATTTTACACATCATTATATTTTATATTTAAAAACGATAATTATATTAGTGCTGCGGAAAAGTTGAAACCTCTCTGTCGGCTAATTTTGTATATATTTGATCTATATTTTGCATTTATGTAAAATACTCCTTTACGCCACATCAAATATTAATAATTAATATTTGTAAATCCAGATATTAATGGACGTTGCGTTAAATATTCATTAGATACATGTGCAATGTAGACATAGATTTCCCATATGTAAAATTTAAAAAAATTGATATTATTGGATTACGAACGTTATAAGGTTTGTACCTGTGTGAAATTCATGATTATCCCCATTCTCTTTATGTCATTTGTACGTATATCGATCTCTGTCTGAAATTAACCATCCGCTTTTCTTTTCAAGGCCTCATTCACGATTAAAATCACGTGATTTGGAATTCTCGTTTTACGATTCCAAATTCGATGAAATTTACAATGGACACTTTCCGACGCCGATTTCTTTCTCCTTGTTAATATATTATGAGTCATGAAAATTTAAGAGACACATATTGTTATGCGTGTCCTAAATTTAGGAATAAAATACCATTTCAAAGTTTCTAAAATTTTCTTTCAACACCATCTCTCTGACTCTACTGTAATAAAAAATGCTTTACTAAGCATTCATTATAATTAAATAAAAATAATAAAATTTCTATTTTTAGTATTTTTTCAAAAGAAATTGTGTCTATTAAAAGAAATTAGTCCTCTTTAATTTCCAAATCGATAAACAATTCTATAAATACTGATTATATGTCTTCTTTTTTTAATTATTATAAATACTACAATTACAAAAATACTCTGCATAATCAGTGTCCAGCACGCAAAGACTTTTTCATAAATGAATATGCGTTGTGTAATAACATATGATTCACTTTTTATTGCAACTTTTAATAAAATGAGACACGACACATGAAAAGTTTGTTAAAAAATATGTATTTCTCGATTATTTTCTCGACTGCCTCGACAGCTGCAATAAATCTAATTATAGTCGACGGAAGTGAGATAACTCTGCACAGGCGCGATAACTCTTAACGCAATAGCGTACTGGACAGTAATTACCTACTAGACAGCGCGCGATGTGCTTAATAATATATTTTAGAGAGAAACAAATCGGCGTCGTGTATTTGAAAAGTGTTCCTTGTAAGTTGATTACACGGGTGTTTTCTTTTTTAGGTCACGCGATCTCTTTTTACTGCCACACTTTTTCTTCGATTCAACACATTCTATAAGATTGCGATTTTTCGCTCTGAGCCGATCAAAACCCATGGGAAAAATTGGAATTACCCCTGTCGTTCTCTGTTTTTATAGCACATAAAACATCTGCTTTTGTCTCTCTCTTCTTTAGTTTTCCTCCTTATTTCCTTTCTTTTTTTTGTCCCCTATCGTAGCCCCTGCCGTATAAATGTAAAAGGAGAGGTCTCTAAGTCTACAATAGTAAGAGTAGGCGATAGTGATTAAGAAGAGCGATGGTCAATTTTCGAGATACTTTCTAGTTTATGGTAAAAATGATCACATATTGATCACGTATTTTATTTATCTCGCCGATTTTACTGAATATATGCTGTCCATTTTTTATCTTTCTGTACAATTTGTTCCATAATAATGAAAAGTATTTGTCACATCAAATCTTTCCATTTGTCTCCTTAATAAAGTTTTTTTATCGCCATTCCCCTATAAATCAGACAATATTGAGATAATATATTAAGGACAGAATATTTTTATTATTATAATTCTTAGTCATAAATAATAAGAATAATATATATATAATATAAAAATATACAGAAGAAAAGTTGATATATTGCTGACAGAAATATATCATGTTACCTTTAAAGTCTCGAATTGTGATTTCATTAAAGATACTCGAGCAGATAATCGATTCGACGAAAATGACGTGTGCAATTTTTCGAAGAAAATCTGTCCAGAAATGCTTCGATTACACGTTGCATTTTAAAAGGGAATTTTTTTTAATGAATGTTCGGTAAACCAATGAGATCTCAATAATAAAGATCGTTCAGATATTTTTGCACCCTTGAAGACAGACAAACGTGACAAGGCCAGTAGAATAAGAAATTGTATCATAAATAGCTTTTCAGATTTATATCAAATTAGTATGCAAATTTCCATTTTCTTTACTAAAATTAAACCAAAATTTATTTCAATTTAATCTTAGGAAAGACTCCGTACGATCAAAGCGATTATACATCCAGAATATACTCTTTCTGTTTCTCTAGTTTTACGCAACTTTGCAACTTCGTGATTTATGTAAACCGGCTGACAATTTGATTGATGGAACCAGATAGACGGCTGTTAGCCAGCCCAAGGTTCAGCGGTTTATTTCGGAATATCGCGATGGCAAGCAATGATTTGATTCGAGCCTGATAAAAACAGCCGAGAGCATCCACAAGAGCATCGGTGAAGTAGAAAAAGCGGAGGTACGAGTACTTTTTACAAAGTAAGGACACGGAGGCTTCTGCGTACACGAAGTGTCGCGTTTACTCGACACAACGTCTCGCATGTGGGTTGCAAAGTACGTACCGAGGTCGTGGAGAGAGAGTGGGTTGCTGCTCGAGTGGGGTCGTCGTTACTCTCAAGCGAATTTCTCCACCGGTCGATGGCTTACGCTTGCGCGCTGACGTCTCTCCGAGAGCAACTTTCCCCCTATATACCGAATTTATAGCGTGAGAACAACCCTGACACTTGCCCATTAGCCGCACTTCAGAGTGAAGAGGATTAGTGTTCGATAACCCGGAGATGATACCGATCATCCGCAAGACTATCTCGAGACGTCTTCTTTTATCCGCTTTGAAATCCTTGGGACTTCTCGTCTTAGAGACTTATAAACGTATTTTCTGATTTTCTTTCTGCTGAAAGAGATTAAATAAAACAGAATAAAATAAAATTGAAAACGTTGCGCTGTTTAATAAATAAATTATTTCATCAATAAAACATCATGCTTGAATTACAGATGCACTAAATAATATTGAGTTTTACATCATTTTAATATAAAAAATAATTTTTATATCATTATTCTTTAACGTCATATAAATATTTCTTTATTTTACAACATTTTAAATAAACAATTTATTTTGCTATAACAAATTATAATCGTATACAACGTCACTTATACATCAATGTTTTGGTATTTCTTCTCCGAGATTATCGTAAAATTATCAGCAGCTGTACAATTGGACGCAAGCGGCATTTTGTCCTGCCGAAGATACATTTCCTGATCAAACTGATTGATTATATTATTTTCACTTTGACAGAAATTTCTATTCAGTGCTGAAGCGTCCATGCTTTCCGATTTTGTAATTGCCTTCGCACGTACTTCTGGCAGATTTATTGCTATGCTTGGCTAAAATAAATAATAAATAAAATAATAAATAAAACTTAACATCACATAAATATCGAAAAAAATGATCATTACAAATTGTTAGTCGCAAAATATTGTATGTAACGTAGAAAGTGTATATTTTCTTTATTGATGGAGCTGTTAAACCCACTATTGATTTAGAAGTTGAATCCGCTAGAAATTGATGATCCTTGCTGTCAACATAACTGTGATACAGCGACCTTGTTCGCCTTGGAGTAACAGGTAGAACCCTCCTTCTTTGTTTTGGTAGCTTACTGCGCGCCTGAAAATTTACATTTAGCTCTTTTATATCTACATACTTAATCTTCGTGTAAAGTATTAGGCTAAATTCGTCAATAAAATGGTAATGTTGCGCGCAAATAGTTATAAATTGACCCTCGTATAGAGACGTGTAAAGAAAGTAGTCAGAAAAAAATAGTCATCACTATTTATCACTTGAATCTTACTTTCACATTTTTTAATTATTTTGCAAACAATTTGAAAAAAGGGTAAAAATAAATATTAATTCTCCTGAAAAATTTGAACATCAAAATCCAATGAACCCTTGGCCTACACCGAGATTATTGGCATAAGGAATTATGCGAGCACCTGCGTATGCGAGTAGAACATGGAAAAGTTGCTGACAATGACCGGAACCGGGAGTGCGATAGTAAGAACACCGGCGAGAGCGCACAGTCCGCCGATGAACATGCCGGGAAAAGTTTTCGGTGTCATATCACCGTAGCCTACAGTAGTCATAGTAACTAAGGCCCACCACAGACCTCGCGGTATGCTGTCAAAATCGTTGTGAGGATTTTCCTGCAAAGCATCGGAATCCGAGAATAAAAAGACGAAAGTAGAATGGAATCTTTAGCTTGGAGAATAAAATATCCAATCTAACGGAATGTATAATTTACTAAATTCATATGTATGTTAAGTTGGCACATTTGATTCTCATTTTTAACGGAAAAAGTAGACTCGAAGATTCCAATTTTCGCAGTGTCTCGCAGCTTCGCAATCCGGAAAATTTCACAATTTTCTTACTTAATACTTGAAGCTTCTAGCGTATTCCATTGTAAAGTTTCTGTAACTTTACTGAATTCTCATCCCGATTCGTGCTCTTAAAATATTTAGTCATCCATCCTTCATGAAACTAATAGCGCTACTGTACCTGCAAGCGTTCAGCATAGAATATGAGACTGGCGAAAAGCACGATTCCTAGCACGAGGAAGAAGACTAGTAAGGCCAGCTCTTTGGCGGATGCCTTAAAGGTATGAATAAGGATTCTAAACCCGGGCGAGTGCCTCGTCAACTTGAATAGTCGTAGGACGCGCGCTATTGACAGGAGTTCCAGATAAAGATTCGGTTCCGCCAGGAATTCTGTGTAGAAGCTCATCGTCGCCACCAGATCGATCGCATTGACCGGCGACATGGCGAAACGCCTTAGGCTGGGGCTTACCTGCAATTAAGTTACATGGCATCGTAGTGTTCGTTATGTTACCTCCATCATGAAGGAGGATAACTTTGGCTTATCGATCACAAATTGGACATAATTAGCATACCATCTCTACATAGCGAAATATTAAGATCAAAATGAAGGCACATTATTTGCTTGTTTTACACAAAATTTAAATATTATTTAAAGCCCGCTTCAGGCGATAAACAATTCGCGATAGAATTCGAGATAAAAATCTTTTTATAATTTTATATAATTAAAAACTCGTAAAGCACATCAAAATACGCGCGTGTAAAATACATATGCACTGATATATATTTTATACGTGCGTTTTCTGACTTTTTAAATCTTCCTCTTTTATTTTAAGCGCGTATAAAATTATAAATAACGTTTTATCTCGAATTCGGAAGAAAATGCAATAAGATCGTACGAGACTACGCAGTACTATTTCCACGGTGAACCAAGCGTTGCAAGCGTGTTCCAGATAGAAAAATGCTCGATGCGGACCAGCGGTTTCACTATTATCCGAATGATTTTCATAGTCTCGTTTATTGTTCGATGGTTCCACCGGTGTTTGGTTTTTCGCACAAAAGCAGAGCACTGACAGACAAATGAAGAACACCGATACACAAGCTATGCATTTGGCTGTCGACGATAAGTACGGCTCATCGAAAAGAACCCAAATGCGAGATCGTAGCTTTTGCCATCTCGTCAAGGTTCCTCTGTGATAATCTTCCTCAAACCCCAAAAGCCGCGCGATTTCTTCACCGCTGAGTTTCTCACTCTCAATGTCGAGCTTATCGAGAATCGCCAGGGTGGCTTGCGTGTCTCGGTGAATGCTATATGTGCTCCAACAGCACGGCTCTACCTACAGAAAATCAACTTAATTAAAGAACTATTAAACTACTCTATAGGCAATCTCATCGATTTGTGTTGATAAATTATATTGCTTCTACAAGTAAGCCGCGTACAGTTTATATGACAAATTCGCACTAGTAAGAAGATTATAGGTTTAAAGTCTAAAAATATACCATAAGAAAAGAATATTTTGCTAAAACAACTTTTATTTTTAGATGAAAATTTTTCTTAGTTTTAGATTTAGTATTAAATATATCGAGTATAAAAACAAAGACAATTTCTTACCATTTTGTTGAATTTTCCTCTTAAATTTATGCGTGAAAAAAAATATAATATTAACGATACATTTCTCCAATTTAATTTTTGAGATTAATGAAATATTAATTATTGAGACTTATATCCACAATAAATCCGCTGTGCAGTGTCGTTACTCTGTAATTTATTTTACTGTTATATTTTTTCAATAAATATACACTACCGATTAAAAGTTTGAGTGCACTAAGTTTTATTTGGAGCAATCCAAAGAACTGCCAATCACACATAACAAAATGCAAAACATAAAAGTTTTTGGTAAGACTTCGGTATGTCGCTTATATTCAAAGCTTGCGTAGGAGTTTAAAATATTTAGTTCACATTAGATCTGGTTATATTTAATTAATTTTTAGCTATTAATATTGTTCAAATGTTGATTATAAAGTTTGACGTTTCCGCACATTCGCATTTATGGCATTCAAAACATTCAGTAAGTACTACGTGCCTGTAAAATTTCATCAAAATCGGACGTGGGTCGCATACGAAGTTCAGCCAAGTTTTTTAAAATAAAAATAGCATAATAAGGTAACGTGTATTTATTATATAGAACTAGTATTTATCGTATCAAAGCTTTTATTTATCAAAGCTTTTCGACGAAAATGCGCAGTTGTTAGAGAATGTTCTTACTTGAATGGAAATCTATTTCAATCCAATACATCGATAAATTGCTAACAAGAATGCCTCGCGGTTGTCGAGCAGTCATTGGAGCTTGCAAAAAATATTTTGAAGAACACGAAATATAGTTTTTAGAAAATAAAGTTTTAAATTAATAAGCTGAATGTAGGAACGTTATTATTTTTGTTAAAATAAATTTTTATGTTTTGCATTTTGTTATGTGTAATTGATAGTTCTTACATTACTCCAAATAAAACTTAGTGTGTTTAAATTTTTAACTAGTGTATATAATTTTTTCAAACATAATACATTAAGAAAAATATTTAGCTAAAGAAACCAATTTTTTGTGACAAAAATATTTGAGTTAATATATTCAATCAAGTCTATTTAGTTTTCCTAAACAAATGTCTTTGTTAGCAACATTTTTTTCCTATCACTTCTTAAGATAACAAGTAAAAAATATTAATAAAACAAGTTTTATATTAATTTAGATAAAAATGTTCTATTAATTTTGCTTTATTAACTTAACTAATTTATCATATGTAATATCAATCTAATCCAGTGAGAAATGATAAGTCGAAAAGACGTATATTAGACATCTAATAGATATCTAGAAGTTTTTCGAGTATCCTGTATTTCTCACAAGAAATCTAATTTTGCTTTATTAAACTAACTTTATTAACTTGATTATTTGAACTAAATAATAAAATCTCGGTCTTTTTAACAACTAAATTATTTGGTCAAAACAACAAAATGTAAAAATTATTTTAACAAAAATAATCAAATCTTTCATAACACGAAACAAAACATTTGGCTGCTATAAACAAAAGCCTCAACTATAAAATTTTGTTACAAACTCTAAACTATTTTTCCTAGTGTACTTACGAGAAAATAACATACATCATTTATTTAGTATAAACTAAACCAACCTGGTTCGAATCAAGACCCCAAAACTCCAGTTCCTCTTCAAAAAGTGGACCGCACACATCCGTGGGATAATGCAACTTTCCTGTGCGATAATAATTAAGCACTTGTGCGAAAACGCCTGGATGCCTGTCGTAAAAGTATTCATTCAAAACCGGATCGTAATTCACTAATGCCTTTGTTAACCGTGATAATCGGGTAGCTGGAATTTTCTTCAGCGTCGTTTTATACGTTTCGTGTCGAACACCACCGACATTCAGTATCACTCGATCATTCCACTTCCCGTCTTCCATTTTCTCGTAGAATGTGTTCCAAAAAGAAAATCCGCTAAAAAGAGACCTTATAAAATTTCAACCACTAATCAAACAAAACATATTACTTCCTTTTCGCTCAAAATCAAGTAACAATTACGCGACTATTGTTAAATAAATTAATTTTATTTGTAAAGATTTCGGAGAAAACTCTGACAATTTTCAAAAAATAAAATATCTTCCAATTACACATGCAGCAGTAGCGGAACTCGCTTGATGACTATTCGACAGTGACTCCAAACCATAAGGTTCGTTAAAAAGACCAGCGCCGCATACGTGCTTTCCTGTTCTATAAATTCGCGCGTGTTTATTTGCGTGGCATACCACACACATTCAAATTCGTTTGTTCAACGCAGTCACGCAATAGATGAACCGTTTATTCTTCTGTTGAAACTGCGCTGCAATGATGAAAAAATAGTGTCCATATAGATTGTTATTTCATCTACAATAAAAACAATATTATATATAATAATTCGTTACATACAGCCATTATATAATAATTATATATTAATATAATATGTGTAATATAACAAAATTTATAAAATATAATAAATGAAAACTTTTACATTATATTATTTACATTTTCTTGTTAAAAATAAATTATCTTTATAATTTCACATTTATTGAAGTGAAATAACAGATCAAATGTCAGTACAAAAATGATTTATCTATAATATAAATTATAACTTTTCTTGTATAAATATATTTTTATGTTTAACATATAATAAAATATAATAAAATCTGTCGATACATATGAAATCTCTCTCGATATTATACAGTGATATGCATTTGTCATGCATGCGACCTCTCTGCGGAAGCTGAAGAACTACGGATATGTGTCAGTATGTTTAAAAAACAATATATATGTACGGATCAATGTATATATATATATATATATCATGTATGATGTATCGTATACGTAGAAAAATAATATATAAAAATATTATCAAAAATAATTTTATTTAACAAATATTTAATTTATAAGATTCGATCAGTCGAATAAATCAATTAATTGTGTTACTAAATATACTTTAGAGAATTTATTAATTAAATTATTTGTTTATGAAATGAATAATGTTATTATATGTTATAAAAATAAAATTAAAATTGATTTATTTAGTGATTTTAATTTAATAAAAATATTTAATAAAATTATCAACTTCAAAGAAGATAATAGGATTAAAAGTTAATCATCCGATTAAGACTAAATATTTAATCACGTGTCGCTTGAACTTCACAGGATAGTTCCGGTTCCGCAACAAAGAGGGTGACGGCGGAAGGATGCGCAAAAGCTCCATCTGGTCTCGAGCGTAGCCGGTCACTCTCGTTACTCTCCCCCTTTCCTCCTCTCTCTTTGCTTGTACTTGTAGGCGTCGGTATTTCCGCGCGCATGTACACCGCGAAACGTGGGCGTCGCACCTTTAAGGACGGCGCCCGTCTATGACGTCATATTTGTTTCATTCTGCCGTGCCAACACGCGTCCGGCTTTGTCTTTTCAATATTGCAACTGTGTCATCTCGTTTATCACGCTCCCTCTTCTCTTACCGCCACCATCCTCTTTCTCTGTCTTTCCCCGCCGCCTCCCTCATTCACCGTGCGCGACGTGCCAGTATGTTTAACATGTCTCTTTTTTATCTTCCTTCTCAGCTAAATGCCATTGTCCCATATGTGCACGTGCCCGCAATGGTACAATTCTCTCGTTCATTTCCTCATTTGCCTTTGATCGCGCACCGATCATTATTACAGTCTGGTTATTCTTCAGCTAATCATTTATTCCTAAAATGTTTTTAAAGTGCGGCCAAATGTTTTGTACGATTGGAGAAAATAAGTAGGACAATACATACAAAAAAAAATACAATCTATAATTGCAAATCGTATGACGAATTACATTGAATAATCAGATTGCAATTCCTTGTCAAGTAGAGCGTCCTCGGCTTTCAGGTGCAAGAGAATACTTTTCCCTCGCGATGACGATGATCTACCGATTAGAAGAAATCAAGATTTGTCCGTAGAATTTGTCAGTAGACCAACTGCGATTGTAGCCAATTGATCCGGCAGGGTTCATCGCGCTTCGAAAATAATCGGCGGGGACCTATTTATAACGCGTTCACCCTATCGGCGTGTTAAACGCGACACGGATAAATATCACGGTATTAATACGCTGGATAGAGAAGTGGATCTGTCGCGCGACTCACAAAGCGAATATACGCACGTTGGGAGTAGCGCGAAGGTTACAAATACCCCCACCGTGTTGCACCTCGTCATCATCATCCCTATTTTCCGTCGAACATCCGCCACGATTTCCCCCGTCTCAATTTCTCCCACGCTTCCACTCCCTCCATTCATCCCCCTCTATGCACATCCCCGTCGCCGCTTCCTCCCTTTCTCTCCCGCATCCACAACTTCCCTCCCTGTTCGTTCTCCTTCGCACCAGTTCTCGCGCACCCCCCTCCCCCCCCCGCCGGTCGCTTCTCTCTTCCTCCCTCAACCCATAGGGGCTCGTCATCCCTCGCGTTCTCGCGAGGACCACCGAGACGCGTCGCCTCGGTCGTGTTCGCGTTTGCCAACGTTGTCGCGGTGGCTCGTCGTCATCGCCGCCGTCGCGCTCGCCGTTGTCGGGTCCTCCGGCGCGTATCAATCGCCAGGTATCTGCCGATCGTCGCGGATCCGTCGAAGCGCGAGTGCCGCGGTAACGACATTAATCGGGGCGGCGGAGCCCGCGCGCGCGAGACCATGAACGTCCCGCGGGCGCGAGACGCGCCGACGAGATAGTCTACCGAGGAGGCTGGCTGGCTCGCGAGGCCTCTCGGTTCACCCCACGGGGCGCCGAGAGTAGGACGTTTCTCTCGTTTGAGAGGGAAAAAGCGGGATAGATCGATAGGCCAGCTGGTGTGCGTGTTCGCGGCGTTTTCGCAGCCAGTCGGTGTGGTCGCGCGGGGTGCGGCCCCAGGATGGTGAAGGCACCGACCATGGGACCCGCCGGGGCAGGCCCGGCGGGCATCAGGAGGATCCACCCCGGCCCCGAGATCGCTATGAACCCGAGGAACCTGCCCACAGCATCCGCGAGCATGCCGCCCGCTATGCGAGGCGATGCCAATGCTGCCGGCAGAACGACACCCGTTTATCATCCTCAGGTACCGTTCAGATCACAATTGTCAATGATAGACGTATTTATGCGCCTGAGAGGATTGTGATTTATGTCCAACCACTAAATCATAGAATTGATAGAATATGTCGCTGGCTTCCAAAACACGATCAGTCTTTTCTGTTCGCGGCACTTTTTCATATATTTATTCACTTCGAGGGCGAAATAGAAATAACGAGAAATAGATGGACCGATAAATGTAAAGAAATAGACGACTGTGACACTTAGCGAAGGCTTTGATTTTGAGAAGGATCACAGCATCTCTCGTATTTTCTTTCCATTTCATTCGATTTATAGAATTATCGCGTGGTGAAAAATGGGATGGTTAAAACTTTATTCATGCAGCGTACACAGCAACCGGTAATTATAACATATTTTACGTTTATGCACTAATTGATAAACATAATTTATGTGGTGAGAAATAATACTGTTGCACTGTTACATTACATTAAACGAAATAACTTCATATAAATATCACTTTATATATTTTCTATTGTAGATGAGAGATGTAAACTTTTTGAGTTTAAAAAGTTATAGTTATGTTCGGCAATTAAAGTTTATTAGCCATGTCGGCCGCTATAATCACGTCTTATAAATCGCCGACAGAAACTTGAACTGATCCATATTAAATAGGTCAAGTCGTTATATAGTCAACAAACAAGTGGATTCACTAGAATAATCTTTTAATTTTGTGTATATTAACAAAGTCTGATTTAAAAAAAAAATTTTTTTTCAAGAAAATAATTTCTTTTGCATACAATTTGTCGATGCTCTCCGTTATTCGTCATAAATTTTTACTGTTTTTCAATACTTATTCACGTATTTCTAAATATACATCTAATTACGTATTTAACAAGCGCTCGTATTAATTATTTTATCCTCAGACTTTGATTAAACAGTACTTCAACACTAAAATCGATGATAAGATTTTTTTTCCGATCACGTAAAGTAATAATATTTCGATTATCCTCATCCTTGGACAAGGAATTTGAGGACATTGCTCGCGCTTCAAAATCCGTTTCCTGCGATCGAATGTAGGTCAGTCTGCTAGAGAAATGCCTGTCGTCTGGAAAGGACTGAAACGTTCTCCTCGTCCGTCTCGTTGATCTTTTCTTAATAAAGGAAAACCCGGATGAATCTCATTACCGGAAGCTGATAATACGATAATCATTAGATGGTTACAATGGCATCGCCATGACGCGGGCCGACGATATCGGAACTCCATGTTTAGTAAGGAATAATGCAAGAACGCTAATGAAGTCCGGGAAATTACAGAAGTTTAATGCAGGGACTATTACGATTTCCGATAACGTAACTCGGCACAATGAGGCATGTATAGCTATGGAACTTCAATGAATGAAGCAGTTTACCGTTCTCGATCGAAGAGCGATACAATTTTTAACTGTCCCGTGGAAGACAATACTTGTACGCGTAAGAACTTTTGTTTTGATTTCTCGTTTTCACAGAAGTGAAATTATATATGTCGTTATCCGTAATAAGAGATGCTTTTAAATTAATGCCGTAGCTTCTCAATATTACGTTTCACCGCAACTCTTGAAAATATTAAACACAATATTTTGTGAAATCTAATTTACTTTAAAATTGCGAATAAAAAATGAGAAAATAAAAACTTTATAATGTAATTTATAAATAACAAATAACTGAAAACGACAAATCCGTACATATCTGCAGCCAGTTTATTTTATTTCTACGTATTATCTTTCAATTATGTTTTCCGATCGAGGATAGCCTTCTATTTCGAGAAGCAGTATAATTGTTCTGCTTTCAATTTTTTGCACAAAACTATTCGCAGCACGAATGTAAAAACTTCATTAATAAGTACATTGAATTGAGCAGATTTGCGTAGCAATGCCTCCGAGGTGCTCGCTTCCGTTACATTCGCGTGGATTATTTCGTCAATCGATGTCTGGTTCTCACTCGGAATTGCTCTCTGATTACATTTCCGGGTGCGTGATCCCGCTTGTTTGCGGCAGGTGGACGTCTCTACGCAGGTGGATCTCCAGGGCGGCTTTGGCGGTCCCGTTGTCAACATGGACTCGTGGGATCGTCGCGCGACGCCGTTGTACTCGCGCGAGGACATCAAGGAGCAGTACTGCATCACCAGCCGGCAGCTGGACGCCGTCGAGAAATCCGGCGGCGGTTTCTTCGGTTGTCTATCCACGAGGGGGCCGTCGCCGTGCAGCTCGACCAGGAACTCCATCTTGTCGGCGTGCGTGCGTAGCGTTCCCAGCGACGAGAACCTCTGCGACGCGCCCTATCCCCGAAGGCCCCTTCAAATCATGTACCGTCAGCCTTATCCGACCTACTCCCGCGGTCCGTCGCGATACGACCTCGAGGACGAGGCGGACTGGATCGAGAGTTCCTACTTTAGACGGCGCCCGAGATCGTTTTGCACTGTGCCCGATCCAAAGAGGTGAGTAAGGAATCGAATAAATTTCGACAGCCGATTTTTTAAACATATAGAATCAATCGTCGTTCGCAGAGTGCTTGATGGCGGTCACGAAATTTAGAAAAATACTAATTTTAATAATTGAATTTCTTTTTCGTAACACATTGCCAATTTTGAATATTGCGATATTTATAAATATGATTCTCTGCCGCGATGCGTGAGAATACTTTTCCTCTCCACGAACGTACAATTACGGTAATGGACGTAATATATGTTCATGCGATGTGTGAAATGAGGCTTGTCTGTTTCGTTAATACATTAATTTTGTAATGAATTAAGCAACAACTGCCGGCAGACACGATGTACTTGCACGCGCGCAATCGACGCCAGCAAAGGGCTGCATTACCTCCGACTATTTGGCAGCCGAGTTCCTCGAATATTTGGGGCAAATTACTCCGATAGGACGCGTTTAGAATGTATCTACTGATCGATTTATTGGTAAAGACTTTAGCGACGTAATTGATCGAAAGGCGTGTCGCGGAATAATAATGAGCATACAAATAGAAGGGAAACAAAATTGAAGTTTAAGAAATGTTTGCGTATAATTATCCCTTTCATTTTCTGCGTGCAGCTTATAGATGTGAGAAGAAGAACTTCAAAACGTATAATCCGTTAAAAAGTGCATCGGTCATTTAAAGAGCAATGCAGTTTCCATTAAAAGAATCGATTACAATTTCATGATGAATTTCGCGAGAATAATGCACGATTTATCATATTGTTTGCGTAATCAAGAAGTGTCATGTTCGGAAACTTATCCTTCTACTTGCATTGATCCGAGCGTTCTATGGTCTGAGACTTTATAAAAACGATATTTATATAGCGCACGATGTTCCATCGACTGTTACGTATAAAGCCTTCCGTGGTGTCCTCAGAGTATAGCATGTGCCTAGGGTTGGGTTTATTCTTGATTAGCATGAGTGCTGCACCGCCCCTTTATCAGCTTTTTAAGGTCAACGGAAAGCGGTCGATTAAAAAATTATAGTTGCGCGCAAAATCGCTGTGTGAATATGCAGAAGAAACTTTAAAACCAATAGATCGTAGTATGATTACGTAAATATAGCGTTGCGCTCACGATCTTATTTTAAGTTCATTAATTTTTTCATTTATGCACTTCCCCCCCTTCCACCCCCCCCTCTCCGTACGATCGCTTTAATAAAATTAATCTTGCGAATTACGAAACAGAATCGTATTCTGGAATTTAATATGCATGCGTTCTTATAAGAGGGTCATCTGTTCGTCGATAGAATGACACGCTGTCGTTCTGTTTCCTGCGATAATACAACTCGATTATCCGTAACACGTGTAATCGAGTTGCAACAGTAGCTTTGTACATGACAATCTTCTGATAACGTATTTTCCATTTAATTAACTTCGTTTTCATTGTTAACATATAATGCACTCGTCCTAAAAAAAAAGAAACCTTGAAGAGGCTATTCTAAAATTTAATAAACACTTTTTTTTTAAATAACGGCACAGCTTTAATTATAGCAATATTAAATATCTTAATATCTTAATATTTCTTTTAACAATTCAAATTTCTATCAATAATTTAACATATTTAAAAAAATTATTTGTTGCATTTTATATCACAAATGAATTATCCGTGCATTTATAAAATTATCCTTTTAATTTTACCGGTTAATCGAGATTTTATTAATCGATAGTTACATAAAATATTGTTTATTGATGTTATTATATGATTTAACGCGTAAATTTTTCTGATCGCCAAGATATACTTGGGTTCCGGAAGATGAAGAATCCATGAAGTTGGAGGGTCCACGGCCGGTCTTACCACCAGTTGTTCCACCGCCTCCTGCTTCCATAATAACACAAGTTCCAAAGACGAAACACGTGAGCTTTGCGAGGTCGCACACGCTCACGTCGTTCGACGTACCGAGGAACAGGAGCCCTCCGAGACCACATAATCCGGAGCGTCTTATAGACTCGCAGCCGACAATGCAGAATACTATACTGCCTTCGTCCTTGCCCCTAGGACATCCTTATCCTGGCGTTGAGCCACGTGTTCTCGTAGTTGGTAAGTTTTGCGTTTTAACGCCGCGTAATTTGATCGCAATATTTTCCGCATAACATGTAAACGATATATGCAAACTGCGATATCGCAAACTGCGAAAACGATATTATAAACATTTGGTTTGCAAACAAACATAAAGTGTTAATTTATCGGGATTTGATTTAAAGTATGCCACATACTGTGTGACACAACTGCGCACGATTAAAACTGTCTCGCTGTTTTGATTCTAAGCCAAGTAGCACCGGATTAAGTGGGGAAAGTAGTTAGGAGCTATTTACTCACAGCTAGCTTGATGCTGACGAAGCTCTGCATAAAGCTAAACTAACACGCCCATCCATTCCGTAAATCAGAGAGAAACTATGATTTAGGAAATATGTTATGGATAAAGTGAAAGAGCAAAATATAAACATTTGAAGATATTTAAAATAAACTCTACGCGAGTAAAATAAATTTCGGTTGCTAAATTGTTAAAAATATCAAATATCTATTCTAAACTCTTCTTTAATTCTTTATTTTCGAATACAAATTTTGATTTAATTTATTTTTCATGAAACAAGAAGTTTAAACACAGATCTTTTATTTTTATAAATTGATTTTACTAGAATATTATATTTTTATGGAAACTTTACCCGTATCTCTCTTAATCGATCAACTGTTGATCAATTATTTAAAGCTGAAATTCAAAAACTTTCCGACAGTCTCGCTACGACAAATGTTGATGAATTATTTTATAGATTGCGATTTACGTTGATTTGCTTGATTCGTAGCGATTTATTCGTTCCAGAGAAACCACTAAAACACGGTGCCATGAAGACTCAGGCGACGCAGACCGAGATCCCGGCAATGTTTCGCGGTCGTGTGCTTCCGGTGACTCTCAGCCCGCGAACCATCCATCGTGTCAAGATGGTTTCGCAGGGCGCTCAAACGAACGGTGTTTTCAACGGTAGAAAATTGACAAAAAGTTATTCGGAAGCCGGACAATTAGGGACGCCGCTGGGCGGTCAGTCTGGTGCGCCGTCAAAGGAGGAAGCACATCACGAACACGAACCGCTCCACAGAACTCAAAGCGAGGAACCACCAAGGTCGCCTTTTCTCGTTTCAACAACACCACCGCTACTTCCTCCCACCACCACCACCGTTGTTATTGAAGAAACCCTGCCAAACGGAGACATCGCGATTGTCGGTGTTGTAAGTTCCAGTTTTTCAATATTTTATCGACAATCCAAGCGTTCAAAGTATATGAAACATGTAAGATTATCTTGCATATTTTTGCATTTAATTTATTATTCACTGATGTTAATTAAGAGCAATTGCCACGAAAATATTTAAGAGTTGCTACGAATCCCATTTCGAACAAATAAATGCATTCAATCGACTCTGCTTTCGTTTTTCAGACTCAACAACGCCATCGTAGATCCTTTGATTTAGACGATCAGGAGATTTTCATAAACTTCAAACCGGCACCGGTGTCGCCGGACGCGCGGGCGCTTCTCAGCCGGATTTCCGAGCCTACGCGCAGGTTTCTTCCTCTCCAGAAGACCTTCTCCGACGGCGAGATCCGCGTTGAGAGACGCGAGCTGATCGGAGAAAGTAGCGAGCCGAGTTATCCTCATACTTGCAGAAGGAACCAGCAGGATCCTTGGGGCAGAACTGTCAGAGCACCCGTCCAATTTTCCTCGACACCCGAGGATCTGTCCTTGCTACGAAGCTTGTCGCCCCACGAGGATCACCATGAAGAGGTATAAAGACGGAAGAAAAACATCTTTCGTCGTGCAAAACAAATAAGTCCTTTAAATTTCCACTTTATTACGTTTATCGCACATTGTTCTTAGGAGTTCCATGAAAATTTAATACGCCGCGGGCTCTTCCGAAAGAGAAGCGTGTCGCTCGAGGATGGTGTACAAGGTGTGCCGTCAGACGACTTCATGCTTCCCAGATCGCTTCCAACTTCACCTACATCGCCAACAGCAACAGCAAGTATGTCACTCGACACAATACTATCCGTTCTATTCACATCGATTCTGTTTACTTTAAAAAGTTAATAAAATATTAATCAATAAAACGATAAAATGTTTAGATACGTCAAAAAAATTGAAAATAAAATATATCGATCGCTAAGTTGAAAGGCAAAAGTATCAATGAATAGCAAGCAAGAGTGTGAGATTAATCAACGCGCGTTTGTATAACTCGACGTCCAGTTATATTGCACGCGTTAATGAAAAAAGTTTCGCACGATACGATCGACGATGTTCCAGCGACACGCAGAATCCCGCAGACCCCGAAGGACGATTCGCTACCGAGCGCCGCCTTACTGCACGCCGCGGTCTGCCCGCCTGCTTTCAGCGCCGGGAGCAACATTGCCGGCATCATCGGCCAAATAACATCACCGTTCGCCTCGAGTGACTCTTTGACGAACGACGTGACTAGGGACCACAGTGACGGAATATGGAACGAGTCACAGGCGACGGTACTCCAGGCCGACTCGTTAGCTTTACTAACGCCGTCCTCAAGGAGAAGACACCTTCTGCTTCTGCAGCATCAGCAGCGCTCCTCGATGGACACCGAGGCCCTGGACGTGGAAGACGAGGTGGAGCCTTGCCCGCCGAGTCCGAGGATACGTCTGGAACCCGCCACTCCGGTGCAACCCCTCACGCCAAGGTAGATTGCGACGATTTGTCTCGCGAGTTTCACGGTCGAAAACTTATCGAGCGTAATACGCGGCAATGTGCTTAAAACTCTAGTAAAAAGAGATTTGCCGCTCTGTGCATTATTTATAGAAGACACTTTTTACAGACGCGCTTACAGAATACAAGATCTGTTACCGGTACAGTTTCAACAAATTTACTACAATGACGTACCTACATCAGCACATTTTTATGCATACGATATGTAAGGCTACAACGCATTCTAGATCTGATTCTATCTTATTCTAGTAGTCCCCCAAGCTTTGATCTCAGCATCTTTGATAGATCATCTCTCTAATCATCTTCAAAGATGTATTGTGTGCAAATTGATACACGGGAAAAGAAACATGTTATGGCATTCGTTTAACGAATCGTGTAAATTCAATAAGTGTATTAGTCGAAATCATATTTAATTGATTAATACTGTTATCGAACTAACAAGATTCCTTCGTTGAATAATAACAAGTTGGACAAATGCAACATTATTACTTTTCGTGTATGTCTGAGCGAACACACATCTCTGCAGATATAAAAAAATAATGAATAATAATTCTCGTCACTTTTGTATCTATAAAATATGATGCAAACTGGTAAAAATTTATATGTCAAACTGATCAATATAATTTTAACAAAAGATTGCATATCGCGCGGAAAGATTAAAAAGAAAGAAAAATATGCAGAATGTTGTTCACTCAAAATTATTTTTCTAAAATTTATAGATGCAAATAGATGTAATATATCATAGTTAAGATTGTAAATAGAATCTTGTAAATATTCCTTCCTTTGACATCAATGACCATTTTAATCGACATTTATTACAAGCATATATGCATTTTGAATTCGTTCGTCGATGAACACATATATGCGTTCATTAATATTTCTTTTATTTACTCTGATTTATGTACATAGTTTATCCACAATCGCGTCGACGTATTCTTGCTTTTTTATTTTGTAAGGTAACGAAATACTATAATAATTTGTGATACACAAAGTGACCATGTGCTTTAAGACTTCTTAGCAACGAAGAATGCTCACGTCCCTCCCTCTCAGCAATGTTATCACTAACGTATATCTTTTTTCTCAGTAATCTCACAATGTATATATAACGTTAATCCCGGTATTGGAGTTGAAATACTCCTCTCTTCAAGCCATTTTCTCCCGTGTCTTATCAGAGTTTATGTTTTTTTCCCCCCAGTATCGAATCGTCTATTTCTGCGAGTAACGGTCGACCGAGAAGCGGATTACGCCGTGCGAGTCCCGGCCCGCCGCTGTCTCAACCCCAATCGCAATCGTCGAGCGAGTTCGGCTTGAGCTTAGCTAGGACTGACTCGGGCGGCCGTACGAACACCGACCTCTCCGAGACTTCCGAGGATTACGTCACTGCCAATACTTCTACGGAAACTGGGACCACCACAGGCACGTCCGCTACGACCAGTTCCTGGTCGAGACCACCGCAGACGTCCAGCGCCGCGGCGTCGGCGGCATCGGCGCCCGCCTCGACCACCGCGACTGCCTTGGAAGGCAGCTCCTTCGAAAGCGCCAGCTCGATCTACAGCTTGGCAAGAAGCGAGGTGAGTGCACGTTTACTTAAAAACTGACGATTTATTCGATTTATTCGCACTTGTTTCATTTTCTTTAGTACTAAAAATTTATTCAGAATTTTTTTATGCAGAACTTGTTGATCTAATATTTTAAATTTCTATGAAAATTCATTCAAAGAATTTTGCCGCATTTGCAAGAGAAATTTTAATTTTAATGTTGTGTTTCGCACTCGTGATTAGGCCGTTATTGAAGAACCGTGTAGTCCGCCGCCGATCTTAGAAGAAGCGGAAATCGCATTTGGATTAGAACTACCTCCACCGCCAATGAGGTCCAGCAGCAGCAGTAGTTCGGGTAGCTATGATCTAAAAGACGCGATGACAGATCCGAATATTGAGTTAGAACAAGTTGCCCCACCCAGCGGGCACACCTCAGAGACCGAATTAGATCGAGATGTAAGTGTACAAAAATATATTAAAAATAAAAAAGGAACAAAAAATAAGACAAAACAAAATCAAAAGAGCTAGCCAATCGGATTATGGTTATTAGAAAACTGTACGAAATATTTCCGTTGATTGCAAGAAATGCATTTCTTTCATTTCAGGAGGGTCACCGATCGTCATCCGGTGGTTACGCCGAGTCACCACCTGACGTTCGTATGTGGAGCGAGGAAGAACGTCGCCGGAAGAAGAAGACCTTCAGCCTGGACTTTCTTGGAGCTGCGAACAACATCGAAGTGGAGCACGCTGCTTCGGAGTCGGCGTATCCGGAAAACGTCGAGGTCAGCCCGACACCCAGCCACCGTCACAGATCGCGAAGCAAGCCGACGTCAGCCCGAAGTCCTCACCGAAATAATAGAAAGCGAGATACGGTGCAGCAATCGGTGCAGCAGCAGCAGCAGCAGCAGCAGCAGCAGCAGCAACAGCAGCAGCAGCAGCAGCAGCAACAACAACAACAAGTGCTCAGAAGTCCTCAGAAGGAAGAATGGAGGGTTGAGCAAGCCGAGGACGGCCCCCACGCACCGACGTCCGACGACTCGAGCTGCAGTCATCATTATCACATGTATCATCATCACCATCATCATCATCCGCGGGACGGTGCGGAAAGTGGAAGGCATCGTCGAGTTAGAGAAAGCCCGAGGAGAAAGACCAGTGGTTACATATCTACCAGAAGACGCAGCAATGAAGTAAGTTTGAAATAAATCCGTTAATTATAAAAAAAAATTTTTTTGAATTATTTATCTATTTATATTTTACTGTTTATATATTTCTATTCACTCCTTTATTCATATAATCACGAAACAGTATGCGAAAAAAAAATCAATCTAAATCTCGCAAAAAAAAAATAAAAATACTTTCGATGTTTCGTCATTTCTTTGTAAACAAATGACGCGTTCGCGATATTCATAAGCAATCGCGTTGCAGGACAAGAACGCAGCGTTGACGGGCAGCTTGCCGCGACGAAGATCCCGTGTCGCGGATGACATAGTTTGCTCCAGCCGCCTGAGTCCTGGCCGTTATCAGCGGAGTCCGGGGCATAACGGTCAGCGAGCGATGGTTCTGGAGGCGCAGAGCCCGGAAGCGAGACTGAAAGCGCTCTCGGCGGAATCGCTGAGATCCGTCAGTCCGGGTAGCGACAGTGTCTTCTACAGCGAGAGCGCCGATCAGCCCTGCGTCTCCGTCGCCGCTCTGGACGCCGCGCATTGTCACCATTGCGGGAGAGAGGTGATATATTATTTATCATGCATTATTCATTTGTCTTTCACTGCTTTACCCCTGGAATAATCTCTCTGCTGTTTCTCCACTCGAACGTACCTTCTGAACGGGAATTGAATTTTGTATCTCCCAAGTCTCGCTGACTAACGCTTTTAAGTGATGCGGAATTAATAATGTATTAAGAACGACTCTGAATTGCCTGCTCTTTGGAAACGGCAAGGAGAAGATTTCTGGCGCAAAGAATTAATGGAACAGTTCCTAAATTTATGTCGTATTTACTTACGATCTCGTTCATTGTCGAATTGAAACTTTCCTAGCGATATTTTTAAGTGAAAATTAGGAGGTTGAGCGTAGAATGTATTTTACTTTTGTGCAACTTTATTGTAGTCTTAGCTTATAGATTTGATTCTGAGTAAAAGAAAACTTGCAAATTGCATCTCTCACTCATTTAAGATTCTGAAACTTTCTGAACTAATTTGGAAAATTAGTTTATTATTATTTTCCTGAGATTCTGCTACTTAGAATAATGTAGAAGTGTAATTCTCTAGATAGATGTCTTTGCTCCTTTGTATTTTAAAAATTACACTCATTATTCTTATAATTTGCTTTCTATCAGCATCAATTACACACTTTTTCTCTTTTTTACTTTGGATATATTAACACGAATTGCGCGGATAAGTAGTATATAGAATCTATACATTATTTATAAAATTATAGATAACGCACAGATTTATATTTTTTCTACTTGACTTCAGTATTTTTGAAAGAAACAAAACTGCATTAACTGTTCTGTTATATAGAAAATTTAATTAAATTTCACAAATTGCAATCCATTTTCAAATTTGGATATCAAATAATCGAAGATAAACAAAATAAAAGCTATAATTATTTATAAATTTTTACTAAAACGTGTAATATCATGAACACATAAGTCACGAAGACAACACAAGATTAATAGGAATGCGAAAGTAGAATTTCTTTCAATCTATTTATCTGTTCATCTGTCTGCCTTCTTTCTCTATCGTACGTGTCCTCCTGTTGCTTTATCTCGAGGTGTCGGAAGAGATCGTTCGACCACCGGCAGGTTTCGCGGACTCTCCGGAGGGACACAGAAGCACAGCTTCCAAGCACGTTACAGGACATCGGCTGTACAAGAAGTTCGACAAGAGATACAGATCGGAAGACCGAGGGGACCGGAGACATCGTCGCAGTAGCGCCGTCAGTAGATCGGATATTCGAGCGAAATCGGAGGAGAGAGCCACCCCTCGATCTGGAAGCAGAGGTTCGATCGACGACACCGGCAGGCGGAGGCTGCAAGCTCGAAGCACTGACGCCAGTATGGAAATTCTCACAGGTGAATTTAGCTTGCGTAAATATGAATAAAAAAGACGCCAAAAATACACGCGCGCTCGCCGGAACATTATTATACACAAGCAAAACTCTGTATTAAAATTTTCTCTTTAATAAAACTTCCTTTCAGTTCACTCGAATTGCGACAATAGGTATGCAAAATCATTCGTGTGAATCATCACGCTCTGTCTTAATAAAACCTCCCTATGTACTTCACTTTATCGGCGATGCTAGGAAAATATATCGCATCTCTCTCGAACCGCTTCTGCTCCACTATTGACGTTGTCAACAAAACGACGCGCCTCAGACCAGCGCCCCGCGCTCTTCCGCGCAATATCCTTTCGCGTGAATCGTCGCTTGATCTAACCAAAGCCCTTTCCTCTATTTTACCATTGGCGTGTCAACAAAACGACGCGTCTGACCACACCAGTTGCAGCGTTCCACTTGTCGCGCAGTATTCTTTCACCGTGAACCGTCGCTAATCTAGACAAGACCCTTCTTTTGCCCCAGTATTGTCGAGAAATCGACGCGGATTATTTCGATTGCGGCAATAACGCGTGTCTTGATCGATTAAATCTATTAAGAGCTCCATCGCTCCACTCCGTACATTACAAAAATATAAGACTTTGAAAACTGTCAAATAGTCGGCTCGCGTTTAAATACACGATCGACCTCGCCTGTGCGTATAATTGATGCGAGACACAGCCGTGTCACGTGATACAATTGCATCAAATTAGTATATAAAAATATATCGGAAAAAATAAAAATAAAATATTGATATATGATTTTAATTATTTTGGAATGATAAAAAATTCGAAACTTTTATCTTTAAAAAAATGAAAACGGATTAGAAAATACTGTTAATATTCGAGACAAATAATACATTTGTCATTCGCCTTTAATGATAGGAAGAGAAGACGAAGATACTTACGTGGAACCCTATACGAGCAGTGAATGGATTTATATCGGGGATCTCGAAGAGAGTCACGTGTGGAAAAGATCTGACAGCAGAGGTGATGACGATATCACGGATAGCCATAAAGACCGACGGGACTCTCAAGAATCCACGGAGAGCGAAAAGAATTTTAAGAAGAGATATCAAGCGGCCACACACAGAATGGTGCATCGAAAAAGCAGCGGCGAGATGTACAAGAGGATACAAACGAAATGTTTCGGTGAGTCGAGCAGTGTTATTCTTATCTCAACAGGTTTAAAGAAAGTTTGGTATTTCGAAAACTGACATAAAAATAATCGCCAGCGAATTCTTCATCTTTTTCGTGTCTTTTTACTAGTTTCATGCGATCATCTACAAGAGAAATTTTTTCTTACATTGAAGTAAAAAATCTTCTTATATTAAAGTTAAAAAACTCTATTAAAATATTAATGAAAGAGCTTAGTTCTCGTGCCAATGATTTTCAAGCAGTGATTATAGAAGATAAAGCCACTCTCTACTTCGATATAATCGTACTTTTAAAAAAAATTAAACTTCCACTTTACAGATATTAATTATTCAAATGTAAAGCGTAAATGAAATTCATTAGTTAATTAATGGTAGTCTAAAGACTGTAGCTATTTTATAAGAACTCCCGTTTAGACGTTCTTAAATCGCATTGCAATATTTAATCTCCATGCGAGATTATTCGACACGTGACATGCGGTCCAAACGAGCCGCATCAACGTCGATTTGCGCATCACCAAAGAATGTTCTTAAACCGTCCCACGCGAAGGCATCCTGCGATAGATCTGACAAGAGGAAGAGTTAGGTGGAAAATAAACAAGGACGAGATAAAGAGAGATAGAGAGGCGTGAAAAGAGATAAAACCGGAAGAGGAGGAAAGAGAGTGTCAGGAATGACGCGAGACGGGAAAGATAAATAAACGATTAAATCACAGTTAAAGGAATAGGATTTAGTTTAATGTTCTAACGTAAATTCCACGAAACAGGGTGAACTTATACAGAATAAAGCGACCTGAAGCAAGGATTTTTTGCAAAAATAAGTTTCGCGATGAAGCCGAATTCATAAAAATGATATGTAATTGCGCTCTCGTTAAAAGTGGTGACTCATGCATATCTAAATTAGGGACGAAGATTAAGAGGGCGAGAGGTAAAAAATTTAGGTCACGATAAGGAGCAAAAAAAAGCACGAGTAAAGAGAGAAAGGCGGGTGCGGGGGGGAGAGGGGCGCTCTTCCCGATTCTTTAAATAAGCGCCGCGTAATACTCCGTCGTCTAAATATAATCCACCCGGCGAACCGCCGTCGTGCGAGATGTTCAAGTCCGGCTTGCTCGGTGCGGAGAGAAGGAAGACGGAGTCGGAGGGAAGGAGTGATTTGTGCCGGCGCGAAGCCGACGAAGAAGCGCGGCACACCGCTCGCAAGCCACGGGGAGCGCGCGAGGGCGCCGGAGACGAGGGGGCCGGCGAGGTGGTGACTTGAAGAAGGAGCTTTTGGCCGGCAGTCAGTGGGTCAGGGCGCCGAGCCGCATTCCACGAGGCCGCCGGCTCGAGGCACCGTCTTCGCGAATATCCGCCGTTTTCTGTATACGTCCGCGAGTTCATCTCCGACCGCGGGCACGTTCGTCGGCGAAGGATGCGAGGGTAGCGCTACGTGATAAGAAAGCGTTTCTTCGACACGAAAGAAGCGGACAAGCGCGAGTAATAGATTTCACTTCGAGAAAGAGAGAGAGAGAGAGAGAGTTCGTTTTATTAACGACCGACGATGGTGTGTAATTCCGCGGGTTCCGAGTGCACGGCGAAAATGGACAAGGACGTGACATTGAAGCAAGCTCTGGAGGAGCTGCTGAAGTGCATGCTCAGGGTCTGGTGTAGGGAGGGTCAAGCTCTGGCGAGATATGGCGTAACGACGACAGGTATAACGCGCTGACGTGAGGCTGATACACCTTTACCTCCGGTTGAAAATGATGTTGCGAAAAAAGCGGGGGGAAAATAGCGGTGAATCGTTTCGATCATAAGCGATATTTGCATTCGTTAATTGATTGTTTGTATTGAGCATATATAAATTAGACGGGACAATTTCAGAATGCGAAATCGCACATGGAGATGCGTTCGTATAATTATTATGTTATTGAAGTTGAAATGTTTGTTGTGGAAAATGTTCATATAAAACAATTTATTTCTCATATTTGCATGGATATTGGAAAATATGGGGTGGAAAATTTTCCGATCTATCACGCATCCATCCCCTTCGGAAACAAAATTGACCTGCTTTGGTGTTTTGCGCAGAAATCAGTTGGTTGTAGCGAATAGAATAAACAGAGACGAAGTTTTTTTCCCGCTTCACTCTGTACGCGCTGCGTTAAATGATTATTGCAGAAATTAATTTTTTCCGCTCTTGCGGATTTAATTATAACGCGCAGCTGACTAGAGAGCGTTATTATCAAGACTACGGGGGATAATTTGTATTCATGGCTTGATTTCTATTCATGAAGCACTGTTTGGCGCGCTACGGCGCCAAATTAACGGCAACATAAATATCCATAGCGAAGATACCAGTTCTTCTCCCGACACAAAGATTCAAAGTATACACTTCGATCGAGGGTCGGCCAAGAATCGCCAAGACAAGGCTGTCTTAATCAGTACATCTGCCATCGTCCAAGTACGCACACATCGATATAAGTTCACATAGCGACTACGAGAAGACCTATTTCATTGATAAAGCGTGACATTTATGTTTGCGACTTTATTGGTACATCGACTATTTTTTTTTTTTTTCTTTTTAAGTTTAAATTGGTCAAAGAATCTACGGATGGCAGGACGTACGGTGAACCTGGGATATATACGGAATAACACTACGCTGTAGCACTGTCTATGTATATCTGCATCCGGTAGTGCTTGCGACGCCGTATAGGATGAACTTCGCGCGCGCAATCAAGTTGCGCTTTTTCCAGCGTCTTTCACGTTCATGATCAAAGCGAGGACTAAAATGGATAAGCCTGCAACGGCGTGAAAAATAAAAGCGGCTCGATAGCGGCACGACGACGGCGACGAGTCGCCTCTGCATGACGGAAGGGAAAGGTCTGAGGCCCTAAATATGCTCGACTACGTTTGTAGCGCACGTTGATGCGGCGTTTCGCACCTTTTTGCGCGAAACGTTTGCATGCCGTTTTTCTTCCGCTTCGATCTTCTCTGATCTAGAATGACCGATTTACTTGCCCGATTGTGTCTCGCATAGACATAATCGTGTCGCATTATTCTCGAGGTAGCCGCTCGATACTGATACCACGTGGTGTCACTATAAAGCGAGAGGCTTAACAATTTACCACCTCACATACGATTCTCTTTGCTCGCGTATTAAATGCTTCTCGTCTAAATATAATCCGTCCAGTGGGATGGATTCGCATATTAAATACTAGTAAGAGGAATTAAAGTGATTTACTTCGACATATGAAATAACACGATAAAGAGTACGTAATGTTCCTTTCACAAATGCAGAAATATAAATGCAAAGAAATAATACGCATTATAGAAATATTAAAAATATAAAAAATTAGACAAACTTGGGATTAGTTAAATTTTTTTTGAACTTTGTATTTAATGCGACAATAAATTACCATTAATGAAAAAAATTGCTCACAAATTATCGTAAATATGCATTTTAATATTTGCGTATATATTTTTTTGCAAATAAAAAATATATTCAAGATTAAACAAGATTCTGATAATCTTAACGCTCACTTATAAAAAAATTACTTTGGAGCTCTTTATTTTTTTTATAAAATAATATACTCGTAGGTGTTATTTCAAGAATATAAATATAAATTACTTTTTGATCTATATATTTCTCCGCCTTAGTGTGGAGAAGCGGCGTTAAGCTCATGTTGCATGTTTTGTGTTCGCAGAGAGTGACAAGAGGGTGATCGTAAAACGCGAAGCTGGCGGCGAGTTCGGTTTCCGCATTCATGGCTCCAAGCCCGTCGTGGTTTCCGCGATCGAGCCAGACACGCCCGCGGAGTGTTCCGGTCTCGAGGTTGGCGACATCATCATGTCGGTGAACGGCAGAAGCGTCATGGACGCCACGCACTCGGAGGTCGTGAGATTGGCGCACTCCGGCACGGACGTCCTGGAACTGGAAGTCGCAAGGACCTGCAACGTATTGGCGCCGCGGGTTGCGCGTGCAGGAGTTAAAGAGAGCGAAGAGGCACCTCTCTACTCGGGATACTTGTGGAGGAAATCGACGTCGTCGAGCGCGGAGAAATGGGTTCGAAGATGGTTCGCTCTTCGTCGTGATAACTGCCTGTACTGCTACAAGACTGACGCGGTAAGCGAAAATTGCTATTTTAAAAAATACAAGCAAACTTGTAAAATAAACACACGATGCACATTTATGAGTTTCTACGTAGAGTAAAGTAAAGTCTTCTTAGAATTAATAATAAAAAAAATGAGAATTTTTTTAAAGTACGTTTTGTAGAAAACTAAAAGCATATTTGCTTTTTGTTTTAGAGAATATAATGATCAGAAATTTCAATGTGAGATTAAAATTTCAAATGGAAATTGCCAATACGTTCGATCTATGAAAATCGAGACAGTTTATATTTAGAATATATTTGTCTTAGGATTCGCAACCGGTAGGGGCAGTAATGCTCCTCAAGTACGACGTGGAGTATACGCCTGAATTGAGAGTGCACAGTTTCGCGATAAAGAAACACGGTGCTCCGACGCTACGACTGGCAGCCGATACCGAAGATGCGGCGGCTCGATGGGCTACGGTTATACGTGAAGCTGTCGAGAGGAACGATCAGGTATTTAAATTGAATCGCTGTTCTAATTTTTCAATCATTAAAAAAAATAATATATATATATATATAGTAATTTTAAATTTAAAAAAATATATATATTTTTATTTACTATATATATTTTTTAA